GCCATGACTTGGTCCCATCCATATCTCCCTAACCCAATCCCCAAACTCAGCCACCTCAATCCTGTCTAGCCAGGCTTCCATCACAAGCAAGCTATGCAGAAGCTGGATCCAAACAACAATAAAGTCAGACATTGTAAAGAACTATGGAAATAACATCTAGTTACTACTGGGGGCAGGGAGGTATCTATTTAATGTAGCATGAAAAATAAAAGACCCACAGACTGATATTGGGGTTCAAGCTTCAAGCTGAAGATCAGAAAAGCAAAGCAGCTGGCCACTAGTTCTTACCTCTATACCTATGCTCAGACCAAAGGGGCGATCCTCAGACTGCTCCTGACTTCACTGCTCCTCAGATTCACTCAGATTGCTATGCTCTCCTCAATATGGGTAGAGACTAACTTTCAGACTGAATGCTTCTACCTTTTATACCTCTCAATTCTGGAATTAAATGTGTGAGCTCTGATTCACTCTTTTAGACTGATTCAATCTCGTAAAGCCCTGGGTGGCCTTGAACTAACAGAGATTTATCTTCCTCTTAATCCCGAGTCCTGTGATTATTTCTATAGCTAACTAGTGTGGCTGGTTTTGCAAATGGATCTCCAGTGGCTTTATTAGATCATAAACAATATATCACCACAGTTAAACACATAGAAAGAAATCTGAATTCATATGTTTAATAAGGAATATAATGAATTATTAAAATATTAAAACTTTGGGGGACTGAAAGTGATTTCTATGTTCTAAAGGATGAGTATAATGTGTAATTTAAAAGCACTCAATATCTACATGAATTTTTATGAAGGTGAGGCTGTTTTTCTAGGCATCAATATGAAAGGTGATTACACACACAAACACAAACATTCACATTTAAGACTAGCCTTTCCCACTACCACATTGTTTAATTTTATTTCAGGGTTCTGTTTATATTTATTGTTCTTATATGGAGACAATTTTTCATTTATTTTGTAACATCTATAACAGTGATAATAATTATAGCTCTGTAATAAAGAGTTGATTCTAAGGGTAGGTTCAGGACAACATAGTGGCTTTGCGGTGTAGCTTGGCTCTCTGCTCTCTACCCACCCCCTCGGGGCCCCACCAGCAAGTCATACCCACCAAGGAAGCAGAAGCTAACCGGATTCACAGCCAGGAGTCTCAGCCTAAGCTGTGCAGAAGAGAAACTGTCCAGCATGGAACACATTCTCCTCAGCCAATGAGGAGCAGGTGTGGACAGCAGTGTCACTTGTCTCCGGAAGAACAAGCTATTAGAACTCACAAGAAAAGTGCCGAGGTACAGACAAAGGCAGCCATGTCATAAAGCCAGCCAAACCTGGCTTACAGGAAACATAACAAAACTTTCTAAAGCCAAAGCACTGGCCTAGGGTCCAGGATAGAAATATGATGTAAATTAAATAAATGAAATTCCAAAATGAACAGCATAAATCTGAAAACCAATAGGAATGATACATAGACCTTAAATTATGTTTTAAAAACAAACAAACTAATTGTATTAATCCCCATAGTTCCGTCTGCATGAACAAAGCAGTAAGATGCTAGCACTGTATCATTCATCAACCTTAGCTTCTGAGACAGACATGACAGCTCCAGGGGGCCTGAAATTCCACATTTCAGAGGCTGAAGCACGAGGGTTTCAAGTTTGAGGCCAGCCTGGTGAGGTTGCTTCTCTTTTTTTGGTTTGTCAGAATGCCCCTAATAAATCTCCGCTGGGCTGAAGGCCCTTACAGGTTTGGCCATCTCCTTCTATGCAGCAAAAACTGACGAATGAACCTCAGGTGTCTCCAATATTCAGAGATCAAAGGAAGCCAAATGCAGAAAGAACTTTAAAACATTACAGTTTTCTCATTGCATAGTTTGTGAACTAGTCCTAGTCTTATGCAACTTTGCAAATTTTTTATTGTTTTGATAACATTTGTATAAGTCTTAGGAATACTATTCAATAAGTTTTGACAAATAATTACAATCATAATTCATGCCCCTGTCAAGATATGGTTTTCTAGATACATATAAAATCATGGGTGGGGGTATGCAGAAAGTTGTATACTGTCTAGGAGAGTGATTGGGAATAACAGAGAAGGGAGGAAGGGATGGTGGGGAAAATGGCCAAGGTTCATGACTCATGACACACTTGTATTAAAGTGTATTTACAAAACCTAATTCTATGGACAAGGAATATGCTCCAATAACAGTATTTAAAAGAGATGTGGGATGGAGAGATGGCTCAGGGTTTAGGAGCACTTACTGCTCTTGCAGAGGTCCTAAGTTCAGTTCCCCATACCCCATTGGTGCTATTGTACCAGTTGCCAGTAACTGTAGATCCAGGGGACCCAACGTCTCTTCCAGATTCCATGGGCATCCCATGTGCATAGCCACACACACACACACACACACACACACACACACACACACAGAGTTAAAAATAAAAGCAATCTTTAAAGAACATGCCTCATGAACATCAGAGTTCACTGTGGATGCAGCACTTCTGACCGCTATCCTAATTTTATGTTATAGAATAAGCATGTCTACTCTAAGATTTCTGATAAAAGGAGTCATGTAACATATATTCTCTTTAGAATGTTTATTTAGTGTGTGTGTGTGTTACTGTGTGACTGTGTGAGTTTATGAGCACCCCACACACAGGCACCAAGGGAGGTCAAAGGATGCCCTGGAACTGGAGCTCCAGTCAGTTGTTGGTCCCATGTGGGTGCAGGGAAGGGCCCAGTTCATCTGCAACAGCAGTCAGTGTTCTTAACCCCTGAACCATCTGTGGCCTCATAACATGTCTTCTTGTGTCTTATTTCTTTCATTTTGTGTGTGCTCATCTTTGCTTTTATTTTTATACTTTATTTTTAAATGTATTTGCATGTGTGCATGCCTGCATGAGCACCATGTGTATGCAGTGCCCTTTGAGGTCAGAAGAGGGCGTCAGATCCCCTGCAGCCTAGAAGGGGCTCAGTGGTGACTAGCACGGACTGCTCTCGCTGAGGACTGGAATTCAGGTCCCAGCACCCACATGGCTGCTCACAACCACCTGTGACCCCAGATGCAGGGGATCTGACTGACCATAGCTTGCTCATCCCTCCTTTTCTCCACAGGACGCTCTCCCATGGAGCTGGCTGCAATTTGTGCAAGGGGCTTCACAGATACAGCTTTCATAAGTCATTGCCTGGCATGGAGTAGACTCTCTGTGTGTGTGTGTGTCTGTCTGTGTGTGTGTGTGTGTGTGTGTGTGTGTGTGTGTGTGTGGCTGTGTAGCTGCCTCTGGGTCACCATGTGCCTGTAACTCCTCTCCCATGGTCCTGTCAGTAATTCCAACAAACTCGATGCTTCACCAAGCTGGACTTGGGTGGAGTCATCGCAGTGTGCTGCCTATGTCCTGTTGGGTGAACAGACATTTGTTCAGGTCTCTCTGCAGGAAGTGATACAACACCTAGTAAGATCTGCTAAGACCTCCAGGCAGAGATCAGCAGAGAAACAAAGAAAACTCACCAGTGTGGATGCAAGGAAGTAAAGCCAGTGGGGAAATATACTAGGAGAACTGTTGCAGTGAATTTGCTTACGCAGATGTGGGGGTGAACTAGCATGTCCAAGGACATATGGGAACTTGGTGAAGGCAGATGCCACACTGACTCTCCTGCTCCTCAGACAAGCCTTGGCTTGCTCTTAAGACTTCCCAGCTGTGGCCAACTCAGCCCAATAGTCCAGGGTAATCTCTCTTACTTACAAAATTAATCGCATCCATGGAATACATTCACAGATAACTGGGAGGGTGTTTGGTTGAGCAACAGGGGGCTGTAACCCAGACACTCAAACTGGTTCCTACAGTATCTAAAGGGAATTTTCCCTCATTCCATCAACAAGTGGGAGCAGTCAGGAAAGCTATGTGATTACCTTAATAAATCTGCCCAGAAGGAGGCTACGGCTAAAGCAGCACCTAGTTCATTGCATCCAGGCAGGTGCTGGGGTGTCCTGTCTCTCCACTCCCCAGATCATACACTCATCTCACAAGGACACAGCAACTGGTCCTCAGTGATGCACGTTTGGGGCCTCCACAGAGTGCACAAAACTCAGACTTTATAAAGAATAGCACCCCCCTAGGTTGCCTTGATTTAATCTTCAGTCCCTCACACTTACCCAAAACATAAAAGGATAACAAATTTGGAAAACCCAGTAGTTTGGGGAACAAAGATACTTTTAAAGTTGCAAGAATACCTTTCAACATTTGATTAAACATTCTTACATTTAAAAACATTTTAAGAGTAGTCGAGCCAGCCAGGACTTCCTTTTGTGTGTCCCTAAACTTCCTTTAGACATAGCACGAAGATTACTCAAAAGAAGGGGGAAATCTGGATAAAAGGCCCTGCAGTCCTGATTGTGGCCAGTCCCGAAGCTGAGCAAAAAGCCTCTCCCCCCACCCCCCGGGTTTATACAAGGAGAAAGAACAGGGGCATTGATTGACCCACCACTGTCTTCGGGGACCCCTTGGGTAGGTGGTCAATGCACAATTTGGAGTCTTCTGTACACGCTATGAAAAGAAATAATGAAAAGAAAAAAACAGCTAACTCATGTTTGGGAGCCTGAGAAAGTGGCTAGGTGTTGGGGTTGGGGAAGCCACAGGAAAGGAATGAATTCAGGGGAGACTTGCTGGACCAAACAGCCCAGAAAATTTTGAAGAGCGTCATTATTATCAGAGTTCACCTATCCATGAGGCTTTTCAGAAATTCCCTCCTCTCTTGCTGGCCGCACACACATGCACAGGAGAAAGTCTGGAGTGGGACCTCCCACCTTCCCAGGGCAATCCCTCGGGTCCACTCCCAGCAGAGGCATCAGCCAGGCATGGGGTTCCCCTTGCCTCTTCCAGGCCTCTCCCTACAAGCTCTGCACCTGGCAACTGTGACGTCATCACGACGGAATTTTCTGATTGGGTCTGGTGGGGTTTGGTTTGGTGTCAACCTCCTTGGCTGGATCCTCACACTCTCTGGAGGACTCAGGACAGCAGCTGCAGAGACCACCCAGGGAAGAGGATGACGACCAGCAGAGCTCTGATTCTAGGGATCCTCGCCCTGACCCCTGTGCTCAGCCCCTGTGGGGGTGAGGATGACATCAAGGGTGAGTTGCCCGGCTGAGAGATGCCTGGAGCTTGAAAATGGGAAATCTCCATATTAGGTCTAACAACTATGTGAACCCGGTCTTCAGGAGGCTCTATTTGGCGAACTGCTCACCAAGTCATAATTCTAATAGCGAGTCCAGTGAGGGAAGTATAGAGGGCTCTGTGAGAAGGGGTTGTCCCAAGACGTAGGAGTGAGTCTGTCCACGAATGGGTGGTTTTTCATTACTAAAAATCTATGAACTATTACTCTCAAATTTCTCTGAGAGTTTCTGAAGTCCTCCGTAGCCATCTCTTGTAGTGTAGCTTAAGGAAAACAGTTCCATGAGTCATGTCTACTAATGTATGGAAAATGCTTCATGCTAGGAACTGGCCCTGGATTGAGGGAAGGGGTCCACCATTTTACTGGACAATCCTCCTGAATCTTGGTTTCCTCATGAGTCACCTCACAAGTAACCAAGGCAAATAATTATGTACATGTGCTTTAATAATAGTGTAAACCAAGCTGGGCTTGGTAGTTCATGCTGGTAGCTCAGTGCTTAGGTGCTGAGGCAGGAGTAGCAGTAGCATGGGTTCACGGGCAGCCTGGGCTACGTAGTGAGACTCCACTATTAATGTATTAGTAAATGCCTTTTAATGTCAATTTTACCTTGTTTCCATTCCATAGAGTCTTTTTTTTTTTTTTAACAAAGTAAGGAATATAGGCCGCCTGTCCTACACCCCGTCTGCTGACAGTCTACACCAGCAACATAGGCAGACACAAGATACAGCAGCCTGTGGCCCCTCGGCCTGGGTTGCCCACCCCTCCCCACTCTCTGTGTAATTCCTTGCCCTCCTCCAGAATCCCTCTTAACTCTGTGCCATTTTACAGATGTTAATAGCAGCTTTGTAAATGCTTGAAACAGGAAGTAAAAGGGATGGCGTGACCTTGTGAACCATGGTCGTGCTCATTCCAGGCCTGTGGGAGGTAGAAGCCTGGCCTGCTTCTCCAGGGCTGCTTTGTCCCCAGTGTCACACTAGCCTGCTGGAGTCAAGTGTGAGCAGGCACAGTGGCCACAGTTCCGAGGAACCACTGAACTGTGAACCCATTTCCTTTGAATTAAAAAAAAAAGTGAAATTTCAAGGTCTAAGAAAATGCTTTGGGGGGGGGATGTCAAGGGGTATGGGAGGGAGGGAGAGGGAACTGGGATCAATATGTAAAATAAGAAATACACACACACACACACACACACACACACACACATAAAGAAAATGCTTTGATTTTAACTCAGCCTATATTGCATTTGTCTTATATGTAAAGGATGACTTTTAGTATTTCACCAAGGAAGGGACCCAAGCTAAATGTATGGGGCTCATTTGTCTTAATGCAGCCCTAGGCATTGCTGATCCCAACTTTCACCTGGTTCTATGACCTGTCAGTCATTCCCAGAGTGCCCATGGTCCTCAAAACTAGAAATTATCATTCAATGGTCTTCTTAGCACTTGCTCAGCTAAGATGTGGGAGCCAAAATATATAAAAACTGATGCCTGTACCAGGAAATGTTGCCCTGCCCCTAGGAAGAAGTGTCATCCTGCCCCTAGGAAGTGTGCAGGCTGGCGATAGACACAGACCCAGGTCAGGAACCAGAAAGGCCTCTTGGTAAGGGCAATGGACCCAGCTGAGGCCAAAATTGTAACAACAGGAGGCTATGCAGTGTCTTCAGCAACACTTGTGGCCCAGGAGAAGACCCTGCTAGAGCACATGCTGTGTGATCCACATTTGGAAAACAAACTAAGGTTTATTAATAATGAATAAGAAAGCTTTGAGGGGAGTTGTGGTGTCTGTGTGGTGGGGCAAGTGGGGAGGGCTGGTAATACCAACCAAGACAGGCACACTAGGAAAGGAGGAACCAGAGGAGCAGTCAAAGGTGGCTAGGAGACAGAGGTTTCAGCAAATTAAAAAACAGCAATAACCTTTATCTCAATGAGAAAAAGAACCCTCTGCCTCCCTGCAAACAGCAGGAGCATGAGAGGATGGTGTAGTTACTTTTGATTGACAGTTACTTGTGCAGAATGACAGACTGTAACTGCCCATAGCCATTCGCAGCCATTGCACGCACTCCGTTTGTCTAGCGACCCATCCACCTCTCCCAGAATTCGCTATTGCAGAGGCCAAGCCTGGCTGACCAGTTGCTCCTTACACAGCGTCATGTCTGACTTTAGCTGAAACTCAATAAATGAAGGAAGAAAAGATGAATACTAGATACTACCTGTGCCTTGACAATAATGTTTATTTGGTGTCCTTTGGGTGGAATTGCCTGCTTGGTGGCTGCTCATTGTAGCATCTCACACATGTTCACTGTTGGAGGAAAAAGCTTTAATTCACCACGAATCTGCAAGTAAATGTCAGTGTTAATTTGGAAAAAGTCAGAGGTAGGGATTGGCAGAAGCGTATAATCCAATAAAATCTCTATTTCTTTTGTTCCAGGACAAATTAGAAAAGTATTCTGTAGATCCCCACAGTTAACAATGCAGGAACTTTAGACATAATAGTTTTTATATATTTTGTAATGATGTCATTGTTCTCTTTCTGTAAGATTCTATATGTTTTTTTACTTGTTAAAAAGTAAGAAAATTTTCTTGTGTCAAAATCTCCTTTTTTGAAGAGAAATAAAATGTAATATATATGTTATTAACATCTGGAAAATCAGTGGGACACTAAAGTTAATAAGAGAAGAAAATATACTTTACATAACCCATCAGTGTACCAGACACTGATCAAGGCAGTCAGGGTAGCAGAAATCAAACACATGACATTCTGCCACACACGTCACAGAGGGAAAGACTGGACTTGGAGGAGTGGGTGTTGGAAATGTACCCAAGGGGGAGGGGAAGCTCATGTGCTGATACATGAATTAAGATACACAGGACTAGGTTAATATGGGTTATTATAATTTTATTTGGGGAGACGTCACTTACACAAGAAACTGATGACCTGCAAGTTGCTGCTCCAATGATCCACACCCAGTCCTCTGTGACCTGACCAGAACCCAGTGAGAGACAGAATCACCTGTGCCCAAACCCCAAACCTCAAAACACTCCAGGCACGTCCACACTTGTGACCATGCCCAAACTGGCATGGTCAGCGCTACAAGTGTGGGCGGGGTGGATATATCACTATACTCATGCTATTTTAAAGTGTTTTCTATGAAGCAGACACCCACAGCTATACACTAGCCAACATCCTGAAATCCAGTTGCAGAGAGGGAAGAGTGATGAGCAAAGGGGTCAAGACCAGGCTGGAGAAACCATAGAAACAGCTGACCTGAACAAAGGGGAGCTCATGGACTCCAGTCTGACGGCTGGGAACCAGCATAGGACCAAAGCAGACCCCCTGAATGTGGGTGTTAGTTAGGAGGACTGGACAGTCTATGGGACCTCTGGTAGTGGATCAGTATTTATCCCTAGTATAAGAATGGACTTTGGGAGCCTATTCCACATAGAGGGATACCCTCTCAGTCTAGACACATGGGGGAGGGCCTAGGCCCTGCTTCAAATGATGTGACAGACTTTGAAGATTCCCCATGAAAGGCCTCACCCTCCCTGGGGAGCAGAAAGGGAATGGGCTGGGGCTACTGGGGGGTGGGGTGGGAGACGGGAGGGTGACAGAACTGGGGTTGACTTGTAAAACAACCTTATTTCAAATTTAGATTAAAAAAGTATTTTCTATCATTTTGTTTAATAACATTCCTTTTTCTTTTTGTTTTCCATTTTTTTCCTATTTTCCAATTTCCCCCTAAATTCGCCAGCTGACCATGTCGGCTCCTATGGTTTAAGCTTCTACCAGTCTCATCAACCCAACGGCCAGTACATGTTTGAATTTGATGGTGATGAGTTGTTCTATGTGGACTCAGATAAGAAGGAGACCATCTGGAGGATCCCTGAGTTTGGTCAACAGACAAGTTTTGACCCACAAGGTGGACTGCAAGGCATAGCTACAATGAAACACAACTTGGGCACTCTGATCCAGAGGTCCAATTCTACCCCAGCCACCAATGGTAAGTGCTCAGCATGCTACTCCTCCCTCCCTTCCCTGGTGGGGAATGTGAGTCACTGCTCTAGAAAACCCTCTCCTTTCTGAGGCATGCCCTCATCCTCTCTTATTACAAATCACATATTCTGTGTACTGTAAAGCTCTTGTTCCAACAATGCATTCCTTGAATCTTTCAAAGAGGCTCCAACAGACTTCCTAACACCCTAGAGAGAAGGGCACATTAGCTCCAAGCAGGAGGAAAGCTCTGGCTCCTTGACCACATGGATGCAAGCCTTGTCAAGGGGGCTCCCTCACCAGACAGTGCATTCACATCCAGGCCATTTCCCTTCCAGAGGTTCCTGAGGTAACCGTGTTCCCCAAATCCCCTGTGCTGCTGGGTCAGCCCAACATCCTCATCTGCTTCGTGGACAACATCTTCCCTCCTGTAATCAACATCACATGGCTGAGAAACAGCAAGTCAGTCACAGACGGTGTTTATGAGACCAGCTTCCTCTCCAACAGTGACCATTCCTTCCACAAGATCACCTACCTCACCTTCATCCCTTCTGACGATGACATTTATGACTGCAGGGTGGAACACTGGGGCCTGGATGAGCCGGTGCTGAAACACTGGGGTATGTATGTTGCAGGGCCACGCACCTGCAACAGAACAGATAAGAGAGGGATGTGTTTCTGCACTTTCTTGTTCTTTGCCATCTCTAGAACAGTCTGTCTTCTGGCTCTGTGACCAAACTTATTTTCCACTCTTAAAGAGATTTCAATGATAGACTTCATGGTCTTCTATAAGCCTACCCCCAAAGTCTGTATGGATTGACTTCCATCCTCACACAGGCCCTATTACATACACACACATGAACACACTCCCTCCTGACTCCAAAATCTTCCCTTTCCCAGAACCCGAGGTTCCAGCCCCCATGTCAGAGCTGCCAGAGACTGTGGTCTGTGCCCTGGGGTTGTCCGTGGGCATCGTAGGCATCGTGGTGGGTACCATCTTCATCATTCAAGGCCTGAGATCTGGTGGCCCCTCCAGACACCCAGGACCCTTATGAGCCACACCCTGGAAAGGAAGGTGAGGGTTTGTGTATGTGGGAGCCGAAGCCACCACACACCGGGGAGCGAGGGAAGGGAAGACGGGTGAAAACACAGTTGGAACATTGTTGGAGAATTGTGCAGTGGCATGATCACATCTCAGGAGCCTTTGGGACATATGCCTCTCCTGTCTGTTGCAGGTGTGTGGCCCTCTCCAGGGCAGAAGTGATGAGCTGGACGACCGGGCATGGAGTGTTTTCCTGCTCATTCATCACGTTGTCTTCTCCAAATATCCCCCATCTCACTTCATCTCACTTCTCCCTTGGACTTGTGACTGTCCCCTCACAGCTCACATACCCTTGGAATTTCCCCCGACATGAGTTTTTTGTTTGTTTGCTTTGTTTCATTTTGTTTTTTGTTTTTGGCGTCTTTCAAATCATATCTACTGTAGAATCTCTCAGTGGCCCTGATTCAGTAGCGGCACAAAACCAATAAATCACCTTTTGTAAGTCAGTTACTGGTTTTTGTTTTTCCTGTCTTTGCTTTTGGAGCTCACTGAGGAGGGCCATATAATCCCATGTCCAGTGACACAGAAACAACCAAACACAGCCATGGAATGCTCAGGGATCTTAACAAAGGTTGAACTTTCTCTCTTTTCATTCCCATCCCTGACCACTATCATCTCTCTCCAGCCAGGCACCAGGGAGGTAAGGTGTGAAATCGGCCTTGGTGTTCACTCAACGATGTAAGGAAATGGCAAGGCACAGGGTGAACACCAGTAATCCCAGGACTCAGAGACAGCAGAGGAGTCCTCACAAATCTAAGGCCAAGCTGGTCTACACAAGGCAAGCTGGAGCTATATAGGAAGGCCCTGCCTAAAAGAACAAACGAAAAAGCAAAAACAGAAAAGAAAAAAAGAACTCCACTTTAACATAACCTCTTAATGAAAAGAACTTAGAATAGCAAAAATGTTGAAAGTTTTAAAAATGTTACAAAAAGTCAAAATTCATAACAAAAATATATAAAAAGTCAAAACTTTCTGGAATCTTCCTAATGACCCAGCTCTTAGTGTTGTTGGGTTTTTTGTTTTTGTTTGTTTTTTAACTCTTTTTACTCTTTTGGGGACCTGACAACCAGCTGCCAAATAAATCACCTGGAAGCTTATTCTTATTTATAAATGCCTGGCTTCAACTTGGCTTGTTGGTAGCTAACAATTTTCTTAAATTATACCTTTAGCCTCTGGGCTTTTATCTTTCTCTATTCTATAGACCTTTATAAAAAATAAAAAACAAACAAACAACAACAACAACAAAAAAAAAACTTCTTTTTCCTTGGCTTGCTGTGTAGCTGGGTGGCTGCCCCTAATGTCCTCCTTCTTTTCTTGGTTTTCCTTTCCACCTCCAAGATTTCTCTTCCTATTTATTCTCTCTGCCTGGCAGCCCTGCCTATCCTTTCTCCTGCCTAGCTATTGGTTGTTCAGCTCTTTATTAGACTAATCAGGTCTTGTAGATAGGCAAAGTAACACAGCTTCACAGTTAAGTGCAACATAGAAGAATGCAACACAAGATTGCATCATTAAGCAAATGTTCCACAGCATAAATAAATGTAACACATTTTAAAATAATATTCCACAATATCTTGGTGTGTCTGTGAGGACATTTCCAGAGACATTTAGATGAGGTGTGTTGGAACCCGTCTTTGGAGGGCTTCAGTTGGATCCAGCTAACTTGCCCTGTCTGTATCTGAGAAGGGGAGTGTGGACTGAGAAATGGCAGGTAGAAAAATTAAAGATACTAAAGAAAAGACAAAGACACAGAATAGAGTTGGGAGGACATTCCAGTGAATACAAACTGCTTCAAGTTTATTGCTCAAAAGTCTTATATACCCCAACCAAAAGGGAGGAAAAGACAAAAGACTTCTTTACCATGATACAAGGAACAAAGACTTACTTCCTTAATTCTCCAAACATTTAGTAACTGTTACATGCAGTTTTCCTGCTGGTCTGGTCCCACAGATGCATCAGCCCCAAATAACATGCAGAGACACTATATTAGATATAAAGCTGTTGGCCAGTTACTAGCATTTCTTATTGACTGGCTCTGTCTTAAATATTAACCCATTTCTATTAATCTAAGTGTTTCCATGTGGTCTTATCTTACCAGAACGAGGGTCCAGACTTCTTATCTCTCAAGTTTCTACATCTTGACTCTCCTACTACATCTCCCAGAATCCTCTTTGTTTCCTAGTCCCATCTATCTTGCATTCCTATTGGCCAACAAGGCTTTATTCATCAACCAATAAGAGAAACATATTTACAGAATGATATCTCCCATCAAGTAATCACACCTTAAATCAAATCTCTTATTTAGGTTACACATCCACACCTTACACCAAGTATCCTTCAGTAATCATGCATTAGTCCTGCCTGAGTCCCTGCCAGACCAGCTAGGTTTCCTCCTCAAGTCTTTGAGTAAGTTTGGGATTTTTCAGTTGTAGATTTTCTAAGCAGTCTTCAGCTGCCACCAAAATTTGGGAGGCTTTGGGGATTTTCCTAGAACCTCTCTCCACAGGCTAACACTCTCAGCTCACAGCCACGATCTAGTTCTCTGATTCAGATGTGCTGTGTCTCCGTAGTTCACTGACATTGTCAACAGATTTGGTAAGTCAGTTGGAAATTCTTAAAGGAATGGATAAGTTTTAAAAAAGAGAGTTTTCCCCTCATATTAAAAAATGGAAAACACTATTAAAATGGATGGTTTAAAAATGGAATAATTAAATGAAGGGATAATCAACATACCCAGAATTGACATACTGTTAATTATTGATAATCTTTGTTGTTGTTTTGATAATTCTTGATTTATCTCTAAAAATGTTGGTTAATATGAATGCTAAGATGTGGGCCTTAGAAAAACTTGTTAAAACAGATTATATAGATATTCAAACCCAGATTCAGAAATTAAATGGAAAAGTGCCAAATGAAAGAGATACTATAAGAGCTACTTAGAAGCCTGTGACAATGTTAGATTTAGGGAAATTCAAGGAAACTGTAGTCTCATATGGCATCCATTCACCATTTGTGAAGTAGTTTGTAATAGGGTTGTCCCTATAGATTGGATAGACTTGATTAAAGCTGTCTGAAAGCCTGGAGCACAATTACAACCGGTTTTCTGGTTCAGAGAAGAGGCTAAGAATGTTGAACAAAAAGCTAAAGCAACAAGTATGGATATCTCCCAAGATAAAATTATTGGAAAAGGAGATTATGCTATTTTAGAAAGGCAATGTCTATATGGTCTCATGGTTTAATCCATGCAACAGCTTGGGAAAGAATTGGAGAAGCAGGAAAAAAATTATTCATTTACAAAAGTTATACAGGGGCCCAAGGAAGCATGCATGGATTTTGTACAAAGACTGTCATCAGCAGTTAAATAGAATGATATCAGATTCAGAAGCCAGAAAAATAATAATGGGAACAATGGCTTTTGAAAATACCAATGCCCATTGCAAAAGGATAATTAGGCCTTTAAAAGGAAGATCAGCACGTTTGAAGGGTTGGATCTGAGATACAATTAATATTGAATCTCATGACCATGATAATGATACATGAATAGGAGAGATGATTTCCAGAGGTTTAAAGAAAACTTAAAATGACAAATGCTTTAGTTGTAGCAGACAAGGTCACCTGAAAAGGGATTATAAACAGGGTATTACTAGAAACATTGTTTTTATAGACATAATCCAAACAGAATGCTCCTCCTTTCTGAATTAAGCAGAAAGTGTGGCAAAGGCAGGCATTGGACTAAGAATGTAGGTCGAGAAGAGATTGTCAAGGCAATTCTTTACCTTTAGGAAATGCCTTGAGGGACCTCTTGAAAGCCAAAACCAGTTCATTTGTTTCCTGCCAATGAGGATGAATTAAAAAACCTAATGCCTATTGAAAGAAAACATATTTTTCTGAATGATAGAAGAGCTTTAGAAGCTAAAACAAAAATTTCAGTAGAAACTATAAATCAAAATTGATAAAGATTAGATTAGGAATCTCCCCAAAGTTGGGGTTAGGGAAGGGTTTTGTTTTTTGTCTTTTCAGGAAAATAAAAACAAACATCTTAAGGAATTTAAAGACCTTTGGACAAATAACCATCCAAAGAAGAAGGGATAGCTGCATGGAAAAATTACCAAGGAAAGAAATAATCTGTCTTAATGTGATCTCTAAAGTTTCCAAAAAGAAGATGGAATCCAAGCTGGGTACAGGTCACACACACTTGGGAGGAAGATGCAGTCGGGTCTCAGTGATTATTGGCAAGCCAGATCTACAAAGTGAATTTCAGGACAGCCAGGACTGTTAAAAAAGAGAAAACCTGTCATAAAAAACAAACAAACAAAAAAAGATAGGACCCCACAACAACACCAGGACTATGATAACACAATTAAGCTAAACAACACCAACTAAAGATGGACTTTGAACTACAAACTACTTAGAACAATTTCAAGGTGGCTAGGCCAGATGATCCAGCCTCACAGACTAAATTAGTCAGGACTTGAGACAAACACTGCACTTTCCCATTATGCAGAAACTGGACAACAAATGATAGAGCTTGACAATTAACCCAATTTTTCTTTTCAGGACCCCGTAAAGATGCTGTCACTCCCAGGCAACAGGAAGTAACTTTAAGAACACTATGCCCACATTCCCAAGAGGTGGGGTGGGTGGTATTTGGTCACTCATTAGGTTATGGATATTTGTCATTGTTTAAGAATATTTGTAACAAAATGTTGGTTATGGCTAGGAAGAACGCTAAACAAAGGAGATTAGATTCAAGGTTTTTGATTTGGAAAGAAAAAGAAATACAGATATAATATAAGGGTAGATTATTGAAACTACTTTTATTTTTTAATTTTTAAAAATTTTTATTTTACATATCGATCCCAGTTCCCTCTACCTCCCTCTTGTAACGAGTACGGTTTTTCCGCCTGCCACCGCTTGGTCTTGTCCTGCTGCCGCGCCAGCCCCAATTAACACACAGCGACTCTGTATTTGACACAATGCTGTTGGCCCGGTTACTTGTTTCTTATCGGCTAGCTCTGCCTTAATTATTAACCCATTTCTGCTGATCTATGTATTTCTCTTACCGGGGAGCCGGCGGCATACCGCTGTCTTCAGACCCTCCATCTTGACTCCTCCTTCCTACTTCCTATTTCCTCCTTGTCTCCTAGTCCCTCCTATCTTCCTTTCCTATTGGCCAACAGTGCTTTATTATTAATCAGTATGAGGAACATATACAGAATGACATCTCCCATCCTCTTTTCTGTCTAAATAAAAAGAAGGGTTTTAACCTTAACATAGCAAAATATATTATACAACAGTTATCAAGTAAGAATCACAGTTAACAATATTTAGTCCATTAACATTTAGCAAGATTTGAAGAAAATATTTGATCATCTATTCTATCTTTGTGTCTAAAGTCTAAGTAACTTATCTTTAATCCTAACTAATGAAAACTATAACCATAACTACC